TAGTCCGTAAAATAGTGGTATGCAAGGGAAGAAAAAGTAGGCAAAAAGCGAATATAAATATAGAAGATGAAAAATTAGAAGAAGTAGCTGATTTTCGGTATCTAGGAAGTCAGATAAGTCATGACAGAAGGAGTAAGGAGTCGCCTTCAATAAAAAGAAGTCAGGTCTTTGCTGGCGAATGGTTAATTTAGAAGTCGATTGTTAAAGGTATATGTTTGGAGCGCAGCGCTGTACGGGTGCGAAACATAGACGATGGATAGAGGTTAGAAACGTTTCAAATGTGGTGTTACAGGAGAATGATGAGAATACCGTGGATAGAGAAGGTTAGACATGAGGAGGTATTACAAAGAGTAGGATAAGGGAGAAAGGAGTCACCATGGAAGTCAATAAGAATGCATGAAATACTATTTAGAGACGTATTAGGAGTTAAGAGGGATAGAGGTAGATCTAAACTAGATTACTGCCACAAATAGCTGAAGTTGTGGTAAAATTAAAGGAAAATGCGAAGATTAACTCAGGATAGGAAAAAGCGAAGGTGCGTGTCCAACCAGTTTTAGGAGTGATCACCTTGTGGTGATGATGATGATGATGATTATAAAGGAGTGGAATTCCAATAAGCTAAAGAAAAGTTTTGGGAAAGTTAGCTGTAAATTAACTAAAATGAAATGAGTGCACTTTACATGTTTGGATTGCTAGAGAAGTGCAAAATAAGTCGAAATTAATTGTAGGCGGGTTCAAGGAGCTGAAGCGCTGCGTAAGTATTTCCTATAGCCGCCTCCGAGTCGGGCTGGTGTTCTGAAAGTCATTTGATAATTTGGTTGAAGTTCAATTACTCAAGTCGCATGAAATTAATGCTAATGATAATTCGATCCGAATCTGTCTGGTTGGGTGGGGCAAATTAAGCCGGGCTACAATAGATGTCTTTTCGAATTTCTCCAAGCTAGATTTGCACTTGTAGGGAAAGGAGCCAAATCTTGCTGTTTCAGCTTGCCTAGCGTTCTATTATTTTTAACACATATAGCTGACTAGGTACCTACCCATATAATTAAATAATGCACGGCTGCACAAGCAATCGCCACTTTCCACTCGGGAACAAAAAAAAATCAAATATAATTTGTCATTCATTTTGCGTAGTTAGTTATTGTTTCAACTTATTGTTCTTTCATATCACGGCCCTGTACTCAAGTCTTCCAAACTCCAATTTAGCTTTGGTAATCGAAGTCGAAGCCATAATTTTAGACGCCTCTCGTCCGTCGGCACAACTGTTGCAAGGGGCCAGGATTGGAAATTAAATTAGTAGGTAGCATAATCCATGTCGTCATGTTGCTTAATTAGTTCTTGGTTTTAGTTTACGAATTATTGTTATTAAGTATCTGATAATGTTATTTATGAACGCCAGATGAAACATATGAATTTTAAATACACATCACGACATCACAATCGGTTACTTTAGACAAAATCACAACCAAGGTTTGAGATAGAATTGTCGAAATGGTGCATTTAAATTATTTACGCTATTCGCAGCGTTTTCGGTGTATGTATTGAACTAAGCGAATATCTTTGCGGCACTGAGACAAGTATTGCGATAGTTTCAAAGTAATTCGCCTTTCATCTAGTGAACTTTATTTTACATCAGCATGTTGCTTCCTTTCTTCATTTAAGACAAGAATTGCCAATCCAACAATCAGTATATTTATTCCTAATAACAGACTGATGAAGTACAATACAGATAACTGTACGTACTGTAATCATAAACACAAAATATACGTAACATTATTGTTAGTGTTATGTAAAAAGTAGTCAAAAATGTCCTATTAAGTTAGTAAAATATGTTATTCTGTAGGGATAATGTCTAGACGGGGATTATTCGTTCAATATGGCTACTATATATGTACATACTTAACTATTAATAACGTATAAATCGGGACGCAAATATGTAGGCTTGGAAATTAATATACTCTTTAGAATTTGCGATTAGAAGTATTTTCCGTTCGAGTTTTTCATATAGGAATGTACACTATGTCTGATTAGTATATTAATATTAAAAGGGTAACATCTGGAGGCACTGCAGGCATCAACTGGCGAAACACGCATACCTACCCGTGACCTTCGCAACAACTAGTACGTAGTAATAACCTGCACTCGTTAGCGTTCGGAGATGAATATATATATACCAATTCAATGAAAAGTATACATAAAATATAAATATTGTATATACGTTTGGAGATGAATGAAAGTGTACATCAGTATGATAGGTATGTTAATACGTGTTAAATTGAGTTGTAAATGTCTAGGTTCATTACAGTAACAAGAAGAAGGTAATTGTTGCCGTTAAAGAGATGAAAGAATGGGCCGTTTAACTAGTGCTGCAAGCGGTCACACATCAGAGCTCAAGGTGTTAATGCTTTTAATTAATGATGCAAGTGCTCTAAACACATACACTCATAATTAGTACGCGGAGATTAATAGCTCGTAATTTGTATCAGGGTAGCGAGGTCGGCCGGAGTTTACCCCCATAATAACTTCACTTCCGAGCACACCGCTGCTGCGATATTTATGTTAGAGGGCGCGACATCGCATTTGTCTCGGATGCCGCGCGATGGTTACCAACGATACGAAAAGATAGGGACCGATACCATAAGATAGAAAACGATATTCACTTCTATTTCGTCATTATTAGATCATACGTTAGGAATACCTGTAAAACGAGAGCAGCAAGAAGACTTCAATTCGCAGTTTTATAGGTTTAATAAAAATATTTTTGTGCGCTTAACTGATAGATATGATTAGCAATTAAAAAAAAAACTTGCCCTGTGGAAATCGTAATTAAAAGCTCTCTTGAAGTAAAGAATTTCATCATCGAAAAATTTTTTTTAAAACTTTTTTAATAGGAAAACTCTCTTCGAGAATGTTGTTAACCTCCTGCTACAAAATGTTTTACAAAAACAAATAACATGACCTTTAATTATGTGCGTTACTGCGGTTGTGTTAGGAATTTAAAATCTACATTCCAATTAAAAAATTTAAAAATTTAATTTGTAGATACATGCATTATTCCTTGGGTTAATCAAATTAAGGTAGGCTGCTCCGTATTAGTTATTAACTTTTTAAAATTTTTATAATAAATAATGAAATGTATAGTTTAAGAATAACTTAAATTTTTATTTTATTTAACAACAGAATTAAATGCACCAAAGATAAAAATTAATTATCGATAGGATTTCAACGAAAGGTTCTACAAGATGTTTTACTGATTAATCGTGCAAATATACTTAGGTATAATTTATTAAATGCATCTAGTCCAATAAAAATATTTCTCGAATGGGTGTCGTCTTTACCAATTTTTTTACTGTTAGGCCTTTGGCAGAAATCCATAGAAAAAGCTCAGTTGAAGTACAACAATTTACGAGGATTTTTAGAAAACACTTGTGTTTAGCTTGGATATAGTATAATTAAAGGTAAACAGAGGGTATATTTGGACTCTGGGGTAGTTGATGCATTCAAGAATTAATGATCTTTCACATTATATCTATATCAGCGCTATTTGATTTTAATATACAAACAACTTGCTAATATTATTAGTTGGTAACCGAGTAGTTAAAATCACTTGAGTAATAACCGAGCCTTTATTTTACAATTAACGCTATTTTGTAATTATATTACCTAGGAACATAGTTTAGTGGATAATTATTCAAAGGATTAATTAGACTACTTAGAATTCTGTAAAAAGTCAGACTTCGTTTGATTTTGTTCTGCATTGAATTTGTTTTTATGGCTTGCTTCACTTATTGTCATAAGAAGCCACTGAAGTTATCTTTTGACTTATTTATTAATACTCTACTGTGTTTTTATTTAAAGAAAAATAATGACAATAGACGTAGACAGTAAAATTGCATATTCAATTGTTTCTATTTTCTTTATTGTGTTTTGTCTCAAGATGTTATGGTAACTTGTAAAGATCTAATTAGAAATATAATGTAGTTATCCAGTTTTAAGGATTTATGTTTTTGGTCAAGATAGCATGAAAAGTTTTCAGTGTAATGTTATAGTTATCCAGTTTTAAGGAGTTATTGTTTTGTTCAAGAAAGCATGAAGAGTTTTCAGTGAAATTTAATATTTATCCAGTTTTAAGAGTTTATTGTTTTGGTCAAGATAGCATGAAGATTTTTCAAATATCAAGTACCTAATTATCGTAGTTTTAAGACGGAAACAATGCTAAGAATTGTTTGTTTTACTAAATGTGTACTCTTCTGTATTATGATAAATTCGTACAACTGGGTAAGTGGACTATCGTTAGAAAAGATACCCTTTGAGCAACCCTCAAAATTGAAAGAAATATGCCTCTTTTATGTTAGTTTTTGGAATAAAGATTCTACTTGTACTCTGTTGCTTTGATAATACTACTTCTTTATCTCACAAGTAGTTATTGTAATTTGTACTGTATTCTATTTTCAACTAAATCTTGTTGTTGTGAATGTCGTATTTAGGCGGAGAGAATGTTTAAGTGATTACTTTTAAGGGTGACCGCTAATTTAAAGTAACTAAACATTTACATACATTGGTGTGTTGTGATAAGACCAATTATCCTTTATATTAGGGTGGCAGAGACTTGGTTAAATTTAAAATATCAAATGATAGAGATATTCGGAGGTGGAAACCATTTGGGCATACATTTGCTTGCGTAAGGTATATATAATATATTCCCTTATCTTTTTACGTACTTTTAACCCCAATAGTAGGTGTTTGGTGAGGATTTGTCTTTCTACCCTGTTTCTATATCTCGTTTGCAATTTAAAGTAAATTAGGGTATAATTCCGGGAATGCTGATGGTTTTCCCAGGAATTAGAGTCTCTCTAACGCACAAGAAAAATAAATGGCGCACATCGTTACATCTTCTCCAACTAATCATTATTCCATTGCTAATTCCAATTTCAGCCTTTGATATATTCATAGAAGTGTTTGAATTGCTGAATTCCGTTTACTTATTTGTAACAACTTACCATGTAATTCCACTTCGTTAATAAGCAAGGTGAGCAGTAGAATTGCCCCCAGGATACACTTCCACTTCATCTTTTGTTTGCATAGACCGCCTGAAAAGAAAACATAAATACCATCACATTTTAATGTCAGCGCTAGCGTAAACTTCTACAACCAAAGCGTGCATAAACTTGTCAACCATTCAGCAAAACATCATAAGCAAATAATTAAGCTACTTAATTAAATGAAGATTTTGTTGGCTCTTTTCGAGAAATTCAAATTCTCTTTACGTATAACGCTTCTATTTCCGGCAGGTGTTATTTAAATGTTATTAGAAATGCACCTAGAAATTAAACTGTTGTTGTTCATTAGATTCGAGTAAATAGCATTAAGAGTGAAAATGTCTCAAAATACTAAAGGCAAGCCGAGCGTTTAATATCCATAATTGCATACATAACGTACAGTTAGTCCTTCTTTTTTAAATATAAAATAGGCACTGTATTTAGGCACCGTGTAACGCTTATTAATAATTAATTACACTTATTGTACTTAATTTGCCGAATTGTTTTGAATTAATTAGTCCCCTTGTAATGTAGGATTTACGCACTACACAAAGGGAGCAAAATTTGAGGATTAAGGGAAATCTTATCTAGAATATATTCTAGCATAATCTAGTTGTATTTATGTTTATTAAATGTTCAATTCAAATCGGTTAATCTAATTTATAAACTAAATCTAAATTTGGTCGAAATTATATACAAAAATATAGGTACCACGCAAAAGAATGATTATAGTTTGTAATAGTACATGGTGTAAAAGGTTATGTGGTTAGGTTTATTGGCCATGGTGGCTGTTAAAACATAGCGGGCGTGAGTTAGTCTAAACTTGATTCATTCTTCGGTTCATTGCTCGTTCTTTTGCTGCGGCGATATCAACGGCGAAGTCGATGGCAGAAAGATATAAATTATTGTCCTTGCGCTAGCTGTGCGCATCCTTGGGCTAATAGCAGCCAGCGGGAGTGAACAACACAGTAGCTTCGCGAATTCTGCTGGATTGTCGTTAGCGGCCAGACGTAGTACTTCCGCATCTTTCCTTTCTTCCTACGTACGACATACCATCTTATTTTTCGCCAACAGGCAACATCTTTAACTATCTTCACCCGAAAAATACTTTCTTGTCCTTTTTAAGTTCGTTACCATTTTCACTTTAATCGCATGACGTTAAAATATTAAAGATAGAACTGTTCAATACATTCTGAGACCAGAACAAGAGTTTATTTTTAAATTTTTACTTACACATATAAAAAAAAAACGAAAGGTCACTCATTCACTCACTGACTAAAATCGAAATCACGAAAACTACTTGACATAAGAAGTTGAAATCTGGTAGGCAGGTAGTTTATACATAGGTAGAAGACGCTAGCTAAAAACGGATTTTGTGATAGGACCCATATAAGGGCGTAAAGAGGCTATTATATGCTTTTGATGCTAAAAAATACATAATGTTAAAGGTTAACTACTTATGTTATCGGTTTGTCTTAAATTATTACCGCTACAAATACCTACATAATAGGCATATTTGGTTTATTAAAAGGTTGAGTAAATTACCCGTTTTATAATCGGTTAAAAAAAAGTAACCCAGGCAGTTTGAGAGAGTGTAATAAGGGGGTGAGGGGGTGCAGGCTCGGGTGAGAAAGGCAGTATTGGACGCATTAGAGCAGAAGCTGGCGGTGTTATGCCTGCGCTGCACCGCTGCTGCTAACTAGATATGCTGGAATTATGCCACAAGCAGAGATCATCAGTACAGCTGTGCTCGCAAATGCCCGACCACTCTTAATGACCAATGAATTAAGGAAGTATTCGAGTTTAGAAACGGGATAATAGCGTTGCGATGCCTTGAAATAATTTGTCATTGTCTCGAATCAGCCGACACTAGGGGGAAGCCATTCGGAAAAGATCTCCCCGAACTACTTCCGATTCAACCAATAATATACCATTAATGAAATTTTTATACCCGTGAATTTAATTTGGGGACGATTTCTTTTTGCTTTGTCCTAAAGAGACAATTACTTTAAGCATCCTCACCAAGGATAATTAGATAATTGATTCTGCTGTTAAACGCACAAGGTTCGTATCAAAAAGTTCTCGGACCCCTCAATTACGAGGTTATACCACAAAGGCGATGGACACTCATCCTTCATATCAAATGCTTCAAGGACCAATTCGAATCTTTTAAATTCGTTTGAAGAAACAACTTCCTTCATGTGTGTTATCCTGTGCGTACAAGTGCCCTATATTCTCTAAGGTAAACCACCACCAGCCTATGTACCATTGCAAAGGAAGCAGCCTTTCGGTATGGATCAATACTGATCCGAGTGACAGTTTCACATGCAGAACTACGTAAACCCTGTCGGAAGGATATGTAGCAGCACCCTTTGTGAACATGTCATACCGTTTGCACCTTTAATTGACAGTAAGTTCAGCGGATGCATGGATAACTACAAATCTTGTAATATTGCCTTCTCCTAATACTTTTTGCACTTTGATCTGTCCCATTTCAGTAATTTAATCAGCAAGGAATTTAGAACAATTCGAAAACAGAAAGCTGAAAAAGAGAAATTGAGATCTTTAGTAAGAAAAGTCCAAACAATTGTAATGAGCAATAATTAGGCGATTATAAATTTTCTTTGTTTGACATTTTCATATCGTTATCCTTGGAGTCAAAACTCCAAACCAAAAGATAAGGTTATGGATATGAATTGAACTATTAACAGCATTTAGAGAAACAACCACCGTTTTGGCATTTTTTATGAATTTATCTTCCAGTTGCTAATGTTTTCCTGTTTGCTGTCAATAGAAATAACCGAGCACGAAGAGAAGTTCAAATTCAACGAAAATCGAAGAAATTATGAAGTGGTAAAGTTTATTCGCTTGGTATCAAAATAACTAATATCGAAATTGGCTCATATGTAGGTAGAATTTAGTACCAAAAGATGACGTTACTGAAGAACTAAACTGTCTTATAAACTTATAATAAGAAGCAGTTACAATTTTGGCGATTTAGATTTGTATTCTTTCCGGGTTGAGTAAGCAAAGTGAAGAAGGAGTAGGGTATTAAAATTTTTATTCTCGTCCCTTCGCATGCGATCTAAGATAGAATTTAACATGGACTTTGTGTGTGTGAATTTTCGAAAACAGTGATTTGCTTTTGAACGTATGCTGTTCGATTAGTCGGTGTTTTACAGAGAATTTTGCTTAGGTGACCCTCCCCTGTGTTATCGCGATATGTAGAACATGGACGCAACGTGTGAATAATGTTATCTGCGTCTTCGCTTCGGCGCTACTAACAAATATAACACAGCATCGGCATCTAAGAGATAAGACTTGTCAACATCCAAAGCTCATTGCGAACGGAAATGGGAATTAGAATGAAGAACCATTCTTGTGCTAGCTTTCGCCGCACAGATTGAAATATCTTCTCTCAATCTCAATATACATGTGTATTCGTATATGTGTGTACATATATTGCAAACTGATTTGTAAACGTGTGTATCTGCAAGGAAAAAGTGAGCTTTTTTCATTTCCGTTTTTCGTTAATTTAAATTTTATCTACTGACATTCAGCTACTGTAATTAATTAATATAATATTAATTTAAAACTTTCCATCTAAAACACATCTTTCGATTGTAAATTCATGGATGTAAGTTCTATACGGGGTGGCAAATCAAGAATCTCAAATCTATCGATTCGTTTTACAAACAAACTAAGATTTTTTTGTTCTGCGCTAAAATCAATCTGAAAACTCAACCGCAAATGTAGGTGGAGTAAATGGACAAAAAGGATTTCAAATAATCAGTGAAGACTGTATTGGATATTTGAACTAAAAAAAAAAGAGATGGACATCATTCTCTTTTATTATTAGAATTATCTAGAAGGTGTTGATTATTAATTTGTTATTGATGATTAATTTTGAAGCACATTATCCAAATTATTATCGTTTGCTATATTGGAGAGATAATTGAAATTGTCAGTCTGTATTTTAAGGATAATGAAATGGCTCGAGAAATTGCAAGAATTTTTAATCGAAGGCATTCCGATGAAAACCTCAACCGTGTCTACGTAAGAAATTTGATATCTAAATTCATGAAGATTTTTCGCTAATAACATGATAGAGGACAAGTTGCAATTTTGACACATGTTTAACGGATTCTCCATCAACCATNGTATCTCTAGTGAATAGAATTCCCTTGATAATTATATCAGAATAGTAAAACTGATGCATTATTAGTGTAACAACAAAGCCTTTGATTGTCATCAAGCGAATTCTGCGAGAGGCCAGGTTCAAATACCAACAATTTCCCTCAACAACAACTATTCAAATTTTAATTCACGCCAATTTATATAAAATATCACATATCGCTTGTTAAATAGTATAGCCGTAGCCATATCTAATTACAAACTATATTTTGTATACCTAGTTGTGGACAATAGTACCTTTGTAAATAAACACCAATTAATGTTATCTAACACGATGGGTGTGTAATCCACATTATTTAATTGTTCTTCGAACTTTTTAATTAGTATTATTTGAGTATTAGTTATAGTCCGCATCGCCGAGTGATTGTATTTAAACAAAGGAATTGTTCCTAACTTGTTTTTGTGCGTATGGATTTCTGATTTGTACGCAACTCGTTCGCCGATTGTGAATCGATTTTAATAATTATTGTTTTATTGAATAGACCATATATGAAGGATGATTCCATTTAAATTTAGGGAAAATATTCCACTTCTATGGGTGTATTGTTAAGTTTTTAGTTAATTTTGTACACAGAATGCGAAAATGTTGAATGTTGTCACACAAATTTCTAGGAAGGGGCAATCCGCATAGATTTCGTCCGCTCTTTCGCATGTGGTATAGGCAGACTTTTAAAGTGACTTTTTATTTTAGATACAAAAATTAATTATTTTTAATTGGTTATTGATGGGATTGTTTACAAATACAGGCACGGACTTCATCAACCCGATATTGCAATTTCTTTGGTCTGTAAAAGTCCATACGCGACAAAACTAACTATTCTGGTATATAGGTACCTGTTCAAACATGACAACGTTTTGAAGAGGAATCCCATTCTGTGCCTGCCGACTGTTATAGAATGGCAATAACAATTCTTCTTGTTTCTCTGTAAATTATAAGTTAGCTGAAACGAATAACCTTCTAGCAAATATTTGCTCTGTCGGAAGGACCTTATTGTGATCCAAAGATAGCTTATATACGTACGTTTTTCGTGAATACAAAGCATTGGGAAATTAAATTTCCGAATTTCGGGAAATTTTATCAATTGGTACCGGTTTAATTGATTTCGATTCAAATAAATATTTTCGACCTTAAACTTTTGTTATGAACAAGATTACAAATGGTTGAAGGTATATCGACGTTTAAATGTAAATCCGTAAGAGTTACATGCTCAAGAAGTTAAGAGAACGTCTAGAAAGTTCGCGTAAGTAGGTAGCTAGTGGTGAAACGTATAGTTCTAAGCTAACACCTTCAACATCATCGAATTACTTACTTTAGTTATGAAATTGGGGATTATTATTTGCTAGAGAGTAATTAAATCGTTTTAACAATACTATCATTTGGATTCACTAATTTGTGTAGAATATTGTTTATTAATCGCTTATATTGTAATTCTTGCCATTTATAGGTATACATTGGCCAAAGGCGTAGATCTATTAAAAAGAGAATTTCTCTGCATTACCAATAATCACCTTCCTGACATAAATATAATCAAAATATCCAATACCAAACGAATTATTTTATAACTTCGACTTTAAATTTGTTAGGGCTGGGGTCAGGACCCTATTCGGCATTCGGGATCCGGAAACGATAATTTTGATTGGACCCGGATCACAAATCTAAAGCCTTAAAACATTTGGGCCTAATCAGGCATTTATATTAAGCTTGATCCGGATGTAGTTACATAATTAAATTTCCTGATTTGAACCGGATCACAAATATAACGCCTTGAAATACTTAGGCCTTATCAGGCAACCGGACTTGGTACGGATGAGGCGGTAGGGTGTAAAAGGGTTCAGATAAGGTATCCATATTAGGGCCAGATCAGCCTAAATAGACCATAGCATAATAAGATTGAAATGAGGTATCCGCAGTCTTAATAGGGCAATTAAATTCGGATGCGGTTTGAATTCCATTCAAACAAATTTTCACCTTTAATTTTGTAAATTTATTTTTGTGGTATAAGGCCTTTTTTGTGTAATATGTAATCTAGAACAAAATTTATAAAATATTGTTAGTAAATATTAGGTAGTTTTTTAGAATCTAGTTTTACAGAGAAAGTTGGCTTTAGCGTTCTCTGAAAATTAAATGAAAACTGTTCCTTTCTTGAAAATTCTTCTTTATCCTATGTGTATACCCAATTTACATTTCTCTACTTCATCATCCGTGTACTCTTTATATTTATGTTTTTTGTAAAAAGAATTCCTTTGTTGCTCGCCGTTTTTTTAACAGTTAATTTAACGTTCAGGGATGTATCAAAACGATGTATTTATTTCCTCTTCGGGGCCGATAAATTTCTGGGTTATTTATATTTAAAAAAAGGTTGTAAGTTTCGTTTGTTGTCTTCTCACAGGGCTATCGACAATTTCCATTTTCATTATTTATTAATATGCGTTTGCTTCGGAAAAGAGATGGGTCCCGAAAAACCGTTTTGGGAAATTAAATGCCCGATATTCTTTCACTCTGCTACCTACCAATATACGCTACCTGCTGAGACACCATTGCAACAGGATTAAACGAATTCCTTCTTAAGCTTTCGAATAGAAAAACAGGATCATCTCTCACAGAGATTTTTTTCAAAATTAATCGTCATCCCCGGACATCCGAAAATAATTAATTCCACCTCAGCCGTTTGTAATTACGACATTTATTTATAGTCGTATTTAAGTATCAATTAATAAGAAACAGATAAATATACAAAAATATTTTTAGACATTTTCCCACAATGGAAGCATGATATTTTCTCTTTAGTTTTTTTTCCATTTCCAATAATAAAAATTTTCATTTGGATTCAAAAACTAATTCAAAATAAACACACCGGTGATGTTTGTTTTTGTATGAAACATCAAAAAAGCAATTACAATTTTAAACAAGTCGTTATGAGATTTTGCAAAATGTATTATGGTTTTAGCTAACTGATACCCATTATCTAGCCTTCGAGGTTGGAAGTTAACTAAACTACAAGCTTTCAAAATATGGTGAGACGTAGTTTGATGCAAATCAGTTTTCAAATCATCCATTAAGATAAGAATTAGTTTACTTCCGCTTGAATAAAGTTAACCTATTATGATCTAAGTTTACCTTTAAGCTTATCCATTGATGCATACAGATACACACATACAACACATGCAAAAGCAGAGCTACAAGAGAAATTTAGTACTTTATCGAGCATACGATTTATATTTATAGTTTGATGAGATTAAATTGCTACTACCGAGAAAAATTTAAAAATTACCGTCGATAAACTTTTCTAATTGATGCATCGCATGTTGTGTGGTAATCTTTGATGTAATCGTTTTTTATTTCCTTTAATTAAACAATAATAGCAAATTTGTCGTTGTGTACTCAATATCTAATATGCTAAATACATAAAACAAAATTTAACATGTCATCAAACTGTTTGTTATATCACAATATAATCATAAAGCAGAAGACTGTGCCAAAATTTATTTTTAAACAGTCTTTTTAGTTTTGTTCAACTTTCACTAATCATAAATAAGAGAAGCACTCATAATCTAATAAACACTTTTGTTGAAAGACGTTCTCACTTATAAAACTTTTTGAAAATAACAACAACAGTATTCAATCGTTAGATATTTCAGTTTGGTGATTGAAAAGCTCTATAGCAGAGCTTTTAATATGTAGTTAACATTACTACAGTGCTTATTACAATCTCAAAATCACTTGTACATTTCGCGCTTTTCTCATTGAAATTATTACGTACATATAATATTTTTATGGTTTAATACAACCAAAAATTCGAATAGATCTTTTTTTTTGAATAGTTTAACAATTTAGCTTTAGTAAAGTGCTTTTTCAAGTATTTAGTATGTAATTTTAAAGTGACTCGACATAGTTCGCAAAATAATAAAATTACCTTTGCAAGGTGTTTAAAAGTTAAAAAAGTTTTATAAAACTTCTTTAGAGTAGTAAACGAATTAAAGCAACCAAGTTGGGTTGCCGACGAATTAATTTTTATTTTATAGTTTCCAACATGCAAAGTTAAGCAAGCAAATATAACTTACGCGGTATCAGTTTTTGGTTGAATAAACGCCTCGACATCGGCTGAGTATTTCTGATTTTTGTTTAAATTTCGTAACTTATCATACGCGACGGACAGAGTCTTCTTTTCGAATAGATCTAGTAGTTGGTTGACTACTGGTTTGAATGGTTCGCGCGTCGGAGGATGATTGGCACAGAAGAGAAAACCGTTCTGATAAAGTTTCTGAATGAGAGCGCGCGCAACCTTATGAACTGATGTTGATAAATCCGAAGGGTTGAGGGTGTCTGCCGAATTCAACAAGAGAACGAAATTTTGGTAGTAAGCAAGCGCTTGCGTTCGTCTCTTCTTATCATCTTATGAATAGTCAGTAATTGCGGTTAAGACACTTCTTCCGCCGCACTCGCATGGTGAGTGTTAATGCGAGTGTTAATCAGGTGATAAGCGAATCCCAAGTGCTCCACTCCTCTTTCTGTATAACCGTCCTTTAGACCTCGCAACTGTCCCTTCACCCAAAGCAGTTGCCATTTCAAAACTTCCTTCTTTACTTCTACTTCTTTTGACTGGTGTTATAAAGGTCTCAGATATTTCTTTAACTGGAACATACACACGTACGTAATGCCCATACAGGGTGAATAAATAATATCAAAGTTGCCCNTTGTAAAGTTGATTTTACTTTTTGATAGAGTATGATTAAGGAAAAGTATCCTCAGTTTAACTGAGAACAAGGGAGCCTTTGGTCTCGTTCTTAGCTTTGCTAACACTAAGGTATTTGTAAAGTTAATTTTACTTTTTGATAGAGTATGGTTAAGGCACAGTATCCTCAGTTTAACTGAGAACAAGGGAGCTTTAGGTCCCGTTCTTGACATTACTAGCACTCAGGTATTTGTAAAGTTTTTGATGGAGTATGCCTTAAGGTAAAGTATCGTCAGTTTAACTGAGAACAAGGGAGCTTTAGGTTTCGTTCTTGGGTTTGCTAGCACTCAGGTCTTTATAAAGTTGATTTTACTTTTTGATAGAGTATGCTTAAGGTACAGTATCGTCAATTTAACTGAGAACAAGGGAGCTTTAGGTCTCGTTCTTGACATTACTAGCACTTAGGTATTTGTAAAGTTTTTGATGGAGTAGGCCTTATGGTAAAGTATCGATAGTTTAACTGAGAACAAGGGAGCTTTAGGTCTCGTTCTTGGGTTTGCTAGCACTCAGGTCTTTATAAAGTTGATTTTACCTTTTGATGGAGTATGCCTTAAGGTAAAGTATCGTCAGTTTAATTGAGAACAATGGAGCTTTTGGTCTCGTTCTTGGCATTGCTAGCACTTAGGGCTTTGTAAATTTGATTTTCCTTTTTGATAGAGTATGGTTAAGGTACAGTATCCTTAGTTTAACTGAGAACAAGGGAGCTTTAGGTCTCGTTCTTGGCATTACCATCACCTAGATTAGGTTTTGTAAGGAACGCCTTATGGTTATAGTGTAATTTACATATAAAAAGCATTTCATGACTGATTGAGATAGAATTAGCAAATAAAATTTAAGGTTAAGTAGTGTCTAGTTATCCACTTAGTCGCTTTAATACTACTAATTGCCCATCTCAAATGATGTTTCAATTATTGATTTAATGTGGTCCATAGGCACGAGTGCTTTATTAATCATGCAGTTCATTAATCCAAATGCATATTTGTTCTATTTGAATTGCAACCTAACCAGTAGTGGGCAATTTGAAAACAGCTTGTTTGTTCTATATTACAGGGGCAAATATTATTTCATATCACTGTATGAAATATAGCATGGATTATTATTGAAATTAAATATCACTGTACATCCTGTAGTTTCAAATACATGATGAAATTGACATTTAGGTACTTGGTGAAAATTCATAACTCTAACTCTAATTATATTTATAACCCACGACAATTGTTTACTGACAAAGCTTTTTCAAGAGTTTAATGCAACTCTATTTGAAAAAATATATTTCAACTTTCATTTATATATAAAATGTATTTGTTGCAGTGAATAATTTTGCGTAAAATTTTAAAAATCTATTCCATTCTTTTCCTAAAAATTGTATGCATGGAAAGCATTTAATTTCTTGCCAGAGGTATCATCGAAACTATGAGAGATATTGAAAATGATTTTAAGGAACTTCATCGGATTTTGAAAGGGACATCCAACAATGACCTTAACTTTAATGTCATAACCTATTTTTAAGTTATTTTTAAACATCAGTTAGGTATTTTTAAAGACAACATGCGATTTTTGACCCGAAATTAGGAAGTAAGTCAACAATTTACTGATTGTCGTAGGTACATCTTTTTCTCTTAAGATATTTCTGCTGCTATTCGAACGTGAAGTATATATGCTAGTTTTCTATAGGTAATTGAACTTCTTGAAAGTAGGTTTTTACCTAAGTAGAAGGATGTTAAGTACCAGAACTTAGTTATTTCTCTAAAGTTGCACTTTATGTTTCTATAGACTATCGTAAACACCACAACAACTTTCATAACGTACAACATGGAAGTTCTACAGGCTTTAACCTCTTTACGTAGAAAATAACCCGTTTGATATTTTTAAAAAAGCTTCTAATTCATTATACTTATCACTAATGTTACTTAGTGTGGTACACGGGCCTGATTATAAAGTACATTTTTAATTAATTAAGTAATTATACGTCAAATATTTTTTTCCAGTTTTTGAAGCAACAGAACATTTTTGGTAAATAAGCTTTGAAACAGTGGAGGTTTCTCGAAAAAGANAAATTTGATATCTAAATTCATGAAGATTTTTCGCTAATAACATGATAGAGGACAAGTTGCAATTTTGACACATGTTTAACGGATTCTCCATCAACCATTCAGAACATTAGAATCTACTTCAGGAATTTCACGTAAAAATCCGTAAAGGATCTGAGAACACTTTGATTGGTTCTATCACTATAAGATGCATTTCGTGCAAAAGCTTAACGAAGAACCGTGAACAACCTCAATGTTTTATATTTGACAAGCTTGTTTTTTGTTTTAAATGTGCCATCATGTACATTAAATTTTAAACGCAGTAGTTACTTCAATTTGCATAATTATTCATGCATCCATATTTGGATTTTAATTTACAATTGCATTTGTTAATAACTCCAAATGGCAACTTTTACAGTGATGTCGCCGATGTCGGGTACCCAATTACCTGGTATAGGTACCCGGCAAAACTCCGATTATACGGCGTATCTCTAGTGAATAGAATTCCCTTGATAATTATATCAGAATAGTAAAACTGATGCATTATTAGTGTAACAACAAAGCCTTTGATTGTCATCAAGCGAATTCTGCGAGAGGCCAGGTTCAAATACCAACAATTTCCCTCAACAACAACTATTCAAATTTTAATTCACGCCAATTTATATAAAATATCACATATCGCTTGTTAAATAGTATAGCCGTAGCCATATCTAATTACAAACTATATTTTGTATACCTAGTTGTGGACAATAGTACCTTTGTAAATAAACACCAATTAATGTTATCTAACACGATGGGTGTGTAATCCACATTATTTAATTGTTCTTCGAACTTTTTAATTAGTATTATTTGAGTATTAGTTATAGTCCGCATCGCCGAGTGATTGTATTTAAACAAAGGAATTGTTCCTAACTTGTTTTTGTGCGTATGGATTTCTGATTTGTACGCAACTCGTTCGCCGATTGTGAATCGATTTTAATAATTATTGTTTTATTGAATAGACCATATATGAAGGATGATTCCATTTAAATTTAGGGAAAATATTCCACTTCTATGGGTGTATTGTTAAGTTTTTAGTTAATTTTGTACACAGAATGCGAAAATGTTGAATGTTGTCACACAAATTTCTAGGAAGGGGCAATCCGCATAGATTTCGTCCGCTCTTTCGCATGTGGTATAGGCAGACTTTTAAAGTGACTTTTTATTTTAGATACAAAAATTAATTATTTTTAATTGGTTATTGATGGGATTGTTTACAAATACAGGCACGGACTTCATCAACCCGATATTGCAATTTCTTTGGTCTGTAAAAGTCCATACGCGACAAAACTAACTATTCTGGTATATAGGTACCTGTTCAAACATGACAACGTTTTGAAGAGGAATCCCATTCTGTGCCTGCCGACTGTTATAGAATGGCAATAACAATTCTTCTTGTTTCTCTGTAAATTATAAGTTAGCTGAAACGAATAACCTTCTAGCAAATATTTGCTCTGTCGGAAGGACCTTATTGTGATCCAAAGATAGCTTATATACGTACGTTTTTCGTGAATACAAAGCATTGGGAAATTAAATTTCCGAATTTCGGGAAATTTTATCAATTGGTACCGGTTTAATTGATTTCGATTCAAATAAATATTTTCGACCTTAAACTTTTGTTATGAACAAGATTACAAATGGTTGAAGGTATATCGACGTTTAAATGTAAATCCGTAAGAGTTACATGCTCAAGAAGTTAAGAGAACGTCTAGAAAGTTCGCGTAAGTAGGTAGCTAGTGGTGAAACGTATAGTTCTAAGCTAACACCTTCAACATCATCGAATTACTTACTTTAGTTATGAAATTGGGGATTATTATTTGCTAGAGAGTAATTAAATCGTTTTAACAATACTATCATTTGGATTCACTAATTTGTGTAGAATATTGTTTATTAATCGCTTATATTGTAATTCTTGCCATTTATAGGTATACATTGGCCAAAGGCGTAGATCTATTAAAAAGAGAATTTCTCTGCATTACCAATAATCACCTTCCTGACATAAATATAATCAAAATATCCAATACCAAACGAATTATTTTATAACTTCGACTTTAAATTTGTTAGGGCTGGGGTCAGGACCCTATTCGGCATTCGGGATCCGGAAACGATAATTTTGATTGGACCCGGATCACAAATCTAAAGCCTTAAAACATTTGGGCCTAATCAGGCATTTATATTAAGCTTGATCCGGATGTAGTTACATAATTAAATTTCCTGATTTGAACCGGATCACAAATATAACGCCTTGAAATACTTAGGCCTTATCAGGCAACCGGACTTGGTACGGATGAGGCGGTAGGGTGTAAAAGGGTTCAGATAAGGTATCCATATTAGGGCCAGATCAGCCTAAATAGACCATAGCATAATAAGATTGAAATGAGGTATCCGCAGTCTTAATAGGGCA